TGACTTTGACTCTTTGAGCCAAGGCAGTGTTTGGGACTGCTGAAACAAACTGAACGGAGACAGCTCACTAAGAGCCCAGGTTCATTGGTGAGTGAGCTGGTGGCCTTTCCTTTAGTCCCTAGGGTGTCACATGGGGATTCATGGGCATGGGGAGTGCTCATCTGTGCCCCAGTTTTACATGGAAGGTCTCCATTTCCGGACTGAGATAACTGACCTTTGAGCACTGATGTTAAGCCTTGAATAAGCGGTTTATTTATTTTCACTCATGGACAAATATCCAAACACATGTACTTTCGTGAGCTTAGCTCTAGAGAGGGAAAGCAGCATGAACATTTTTCTGAGCACTGAGCACTTTGCCAGGTCCTTCTCATATATTATCTCATTTCATCTTCAAAACAACCCTGGGATATGAGAATAGTTATTGTTCTCATTTAGCAGATGAAGAAGAATCAGAGAGGTTGAACAGCTTGTGATCTCCTGGTGCCAGAACTCACACCTGGGTCTACTTGGTTCTGAAGCTTTCTCCATGGAACCAGAAGGCATCCTACAAGTCATTTAGCTCCACTCTGGCCAGAGATTAAACTGCCTAAAGTTTATTTTTCCCAGGTTTCTTCTTTTCTTTCTTTCTTTTTTTTTTTGTAGGGGCAGCCCCAGGAAGAATCCCACAACACCTGCTAATACCCACAGTCTGAAAAGCCTTGTACAGCACAAGAATGATACACATGTCCAAAAAAGAAAAGGCATTTCCTCCCTAAACAGCACCTTGACAGTGCAGTTTTAAAACCTCATAATGAAACAACAACAACAAAAAGAAATGTGAGGAGAGAGTTGGAGAAATAGATATTGCCAGGGCTGAGGAATTCACTGACCCCCAATCTGGGCCATCTCAAGAGATGCTGGCCAGTGGCTGAGCCTCTTAAAAGCTGAAAAGTCATCCCAGGCCATCGTTAAAGAGAGCGCTTGAACAAAACAGAAACAAATGTGATCCTTAAAGTTTTAAATGTCAACTTGAAGGATAACTTAGAAGCTCTGAGATGGGCCAAGAGAGCCTGCAGCTGCTCTCTCCAGCATCAGATGCTCCGTCTCTCCTTGGACTAGCCACTCCCCTGCCCCATACCCACCAGGGAAGTTTACAGATGCCTAAAGCTTCCATTCTTTACAACCCATCAGAGTCTCCCCTTACTCTGACCTTGGCTCCTGCAGGCACAGTTTGCCTAACAAACCTGACCTCGGGCTTAATCTTCAAGACTCAGCTGGTCCTTCCATCCCATTTTCTTAAATTCTTTTTTTCTTTTTGCTGCCCTGATTGGGTGTTTTCCACTATCTTGTCTTCTAAATCACTGATTCCATCTTCTGCTTCCTCTAGTCTGCTGCTGATTTATTTGGAAGGAACACTTTGTAAAGCATATGATTTTCTAACCACTATGCTGTACATATGAAACTAATACAAAATAATATTGAAGGTAAAGTGTAATTGAAAATAAAATTTAAAAAGAAAAAGGTTAAAAGTAAAAAAAAATGGTTCTTGATCTTGCTGCCCCACCTCCACCTTGCCACCTCCCCACCCCCACCATACCAGAACAACCTGCTCTGTTGCCCTGCCACCTCTAGAGAGAGCTCACACAGGAGCTGGTTCCAGGACAGATACCCAGGATGCCTGGTTCCTTCTCTCACCCCTCAGGGTAATAGGACAGGCATGCACACGGATAATTCCTGTCAGCCACCTTTTCCAGAAAGAACAAGTAAAGGTGTGACCTGAGTCCTGGAAACTCCACTCCCCTGCCTTCCATAATGGAACACTTATAGCCAGATTTGGTGGGAGGTTCTTTCTAAACAACACAGGCTCGATGGTTGAAAACTGCAAAATGAAATTATGATAATCCCTTTATCAACGGTCTACAACATTGCTAGCTCCGTTTTCATTCTTTTGCATAAATATCCTTTTTGTAATAACCCTGTGTGGTAAATATTATCCTCAGTATGGTTTCACAGAGGAGGATGCTAAAGCTCACAGGAATAAGTAAGGTCTCCCAGGTGCCTAGTCCTCTCCCAGGCAGTGCTCGGAAGCCTGTGTTCTATCCTCGCACAAGGCTACGTTTGTAGTCCAGACCTAAAGCACACAAGATCCCTGAACACAGACACTCTGGCCATGGAGATCCAGAGGGCTGTCTGCTATCAAAGCCAAAGACAAAGTCCAAGTTGTTTTTCTGCCAGGTGTATTTGCCCTTTGGACCTTCAGGAGAGCCTGAGAATGAATGCATCCTAAGTATTCTGATCTCAGAGAGGATTGAAGAGCTGGCCAGATCTTGAGCTGATAGAAGGGACACTGAGAAGGCTTCACTATCAGCCCAAGCATCAGTGGTCTAGGAATTTGTCCAGGTCTCAAGTTGGTGAAATGTCTCCCAGAGCAAACCCAGAGGGGTCAGGATTCTACTGACCATCTGGAGAAACCCACATGATGAAAGACTAAAAGCTCAGGTCTCTCCCTGCGGAGCCCTGTGCTGGGACAGGGTATTTCTGGGTGTCCACCTCCAAGGGCCCCTCTGTCCCTAGATGTTCAGCGTTCTGTTTGTAAAGTGGGAATGAGTGGGAACATTCAAAATTGGTCCTTCCACTGACTCCACTGAAATCAAAGAAGCAAGCTTCTGCCTTGTTGGTTATCTTTGCACCCTCCTGACTACAGGCACTTAAGCTTTCCCTCTCCACCCTGGGCCCAACGCTCTTCATTGAGGGAGAGGGTTTAACTTGTTTAGTGACCAAATCATTGGGGGCAAGAAGTTGGGAAGAAAGACTGGGGAGAAAGCAAGTTCTCACAGAAAGCGGTAGTCTCAACCTCAGCCACACTTACCCAAAGAAAAAGCATTCACAGGACTTCATACTGGTCCTGCCCTCACATCCTCCCTCTTCTCTGAAAGCCTGACTCTCTTCTCAGTTCTAGCACCCAGGGAAAGCTTCTCTCCTCTTTTCGTCCTGAGAGGGGCACAAGTATGCCCTCAGCATCACAGGAGCTAGAGGAAAAGCTCCAAAAACTCGGCTAGGAGTTATGCGCCAGAGTGTACAACTTACCAGGCAGCAAGACATAATAGCACAGTTGTTTTTTTGGTTTTTATTTTGTTTTGTTTTTAAGGGAGGAATGCAGCTCCCAGCACAGATGAGAAATGGGCTGTTTATGTGTCCATGCCCGAGGGCCACGACCATCACCACAAAGTCACAAATGTGTAAGCATGTGCTTGCATGTTCATCTCACAGGAACCCAGCTACTCCACTTACACACTATTTTACACTGCTCTCAAAGTGACTTATTTCCTTCTTCATCACACTTAGGTTGAAGATGCACTCCTTAGGTTAAACAAGTCTATTTTTGACATTGTTGTCTGCTCAGGCTATTATAGTATTTCCCTAGGGGTCAATTTGTATAATTTCTAAAATCTTTCCCAAATCTCCAACTTCCTGTGGGTCCAAATTTCCTCTCTGTCCCTTCATTCTCTCATTTTTCTAGGACACAGGGAGAGTCCAGTAATGTTCCTCCCATCCAAACATTGTAGGTTGGCTCTATTGCAAAATACAAAACCAGAGACCGGGCTAGGGCAAAGCTGAAAGGGCTCTCTTTGTGGTCACTGGTTTGTTGAACCCAGCTATTGACATCCAGCGCCATGCATTGGGCAATCCAGGGCTTCTGGGTCCACAGAGCCGGCGCCCCCTCTCCTCCCACTCTCAGGAGAACACAATTGCCCCTCTTCGTCCTAGGGAAAATCCATTTCCTCCATCAACCGGCTGGCTTTTCAGAGAAATCCAAGAAACTGACACCAAACTCAGATGGGGCAGGGGTGGGGGTGGGGGACACAAAACTTGAAACTTTAAACTTTTCAAAGATGAGAAGTTGCTTTCACTCCCATGTCAACTTCAAGGCAAACCTCCAGGGCCTCTTTCCTAGAGAGGCGTGATTTTCCTTCCCACCTTCCCAGGAACTCTGCAAATCCTCCACAAAACTGTGCAAAAGTGGCCAAAGCAGAGAGAGAAGAGTTAAATCAAGCCCAGACCTCAGCAATCTGTGTTCAATTTTGATAAAAATCTCTCTCCCTCTCCCCCACCACCCCCCTTCCTCCACGCCACAGCTCAGACATGTCTCTTTATGTTATGAGCTTGCATCTTGTTTGGGGCACTGCGGTGCTTCCAGAGAATCCGGCATGTCCCCCACCGTGGGCACATGTGGCAGACACATTCATCCCACTCCTGGGGCAGGACTGGACACAGAGCCACAGTGTCCCCACCACCACCACTCCTCCACTTCCTATCTTGCTTAGATTACCTGCCTCCTGACCAGATCCCTCCTTCCCAGTTAAGTCAAAGTCCCACGGCCTGGTGATGTCAGGGCCAAGGCAGGAGGTTCCGTAGCAGCCACAGGTGCCAAGGTGCCCAGAGTCAGGACTCCTTTCCTTAGATGCTCCTTTCTTTGCTCAAAGTCCCACTGCCCACTGCTTCTGAGAGCAAGAACCGCGGCTCCCCCTCCCCTGCCTGCTGGCCAGGGGCCAGGCTTGCAAGTGGGAGCTGGGCTTGTGAAGAGTTAAATCATCCGCATGAAGGTACAAACTGAACCAGGACAAGACACCGCCAAAAAAGTTGTCAGTGTGGGGGGTATCGGCTATGTTTGTCCACTTGTGACAACAAGGAATCAGATTTCAAAGCCACGAAAAAACATTTTTTAAAGTTTTCCAAAGACATTTTCTGTGTCCAGATGTGCTCATAACGACAGACACTACACACAAACACGCACAGACGCGCACGCAGGCCCTAGGAGCCCACTCAGGGGTTCGTGGCTCCTGCAAACACTTCGGAGAAACAAAACAGGCAGCCTGTGCAGTTTGCCTTTCCAATCCGCTTTTAACGCTGTGGATAAAGTAAGGGGAGAAAAGTGGAGCAGTACTGGCAGAAAGCTCCCTCAGCCCGACCCCCAGCCCACGGACAGACGCGAAACCCAGCAGGCCGGCGGCCGCACTTACTCCGAGGCCCCCATGGCGGGCGCCGCTCCCGGCCGTCCGAACCCGGCCGCGCGCTCGCGGCAGCGCTCCGCTTCTCTCCCCGGACTCCGCTGCATTCAGAGAAACCACCGCCACCGCCCCTCCCGGCCGGCCTCGCTCCCCCGCCCGCCCCGCTCTGACGTCAGGCGTCTTGGAGCGGGGATATTTATGGCCAGGATACTCTGAATTTTCCCTAGGTAGAGTTCTGATTGCAGTTCCTTGGGATTTGTAATTTTCACACTTTCAGACAAAAAGGAGGGGAGGGAGGAAGGGAGAGGGCAGCCGGCAGGGGCGAGGCAGACAATGAGGGTAGCTGTTTCCTACTTTGGCAAGGAGCCTTCTCAGGGCTCCCTCTGTTTTGGAAACATGTAAGGGTCAAGGAGGCAACGGCGGCGACCTGGGCAGTAGGTTTCTCCTCTCTTCTCCTGTGGGCATCAGGCACAAAGACCTGGTCTGGGGCGATGGCGGGTTCAGGTGTGGAGGGAATGCCCTCTCCATCCTCAAAGCGTCCCGTTGAAGGACAGTAAGTCCCGGGAAGGTGCTAGGGCAAGAAAGGAGATAAATCAGGCAGAACAGAACAGCTAATTAGAAGCCCTAGTCCACACCCTAACAACTTTTCCATTTCTTCTTTGGGAGTGTGTATGCTTAAAAAAAGAGTTTATTTTTATAAAATTATGTTCCACACTCCCTGCCTCTGTATAGCTTTTCCAACTCAGTGCCAGTCAATTCATCTTACTTCACTGCTTATATACAGAGTTTGAACCGTTTACAATAGCTCTTATTCATACTTTTAAAGATTGCTTTTAATTTTTTTTCTTAAATGTTATTGTGATCCATCTTCTGGACTGGACTGGAAATTGCCTTAGTCAAGAGCAACTGTCTGCCCCATGGTTGGCATTATCCTCAGGGTGAGTGTTTTATGTTCTGTTTTCCTCACAACCCCAGGAGTGTGTGAGCAGCCGGCACCCACACTGGGTGATGACCCATGTAGAGTTTTATGGGTGTTCAGGTATAGATTCTTGATAGTTTTTTTCTGTTTCTCTATCGAGATGAAGCATCTTAGGGAAACAGCTTGGTTTAAGAGCCTTCCTTCCAGAGTAGAGAAAAAGAGGATGTAAATGCTTTGTCCTTTATGGTTCCCAAGAATTGGAGAATGAATATAAAAATGATACACATGAGATGCAAATTGCTTGTATAGTTAGATAACATAAGTGTGTAGGTATTCAACTCTCCATTAATAGAAGGAGCCCAGATAACCGCAAATCATCACTAAGCCATCACAACTCTAGTGAACTTTCCATTAGCCCAGATGGAGTGTGTGTTGTGTGTGTGTGTGTGTGTGTGTGTGTGTGCTTAACCACAGTTACAATGCAGCAGGGACTCAAGGACTTGGAATGTGTTTACCTCTTTGGCAGCAGCTGGTTAGGGCTGATTGCCAGAAGGGGCCAAGTCTTGGGGACTGGGCCTCCTGTAGGGGACAGCCAAGATGTTTTAATCCAAGTCACAGAGGGCCCAGACCCCTGCTTTTTGGTCACTGTCAAGTTGCCCTCCTGAGCTTTATACCCATTGCCACATCTTTCCTCTTCCTCATATCAGAGTTCCATTAGCAGGATAAGTCTGCTCTGTAGTCAACATTGTAAATTGGCTTCCAAAAGCCTTCTTCCTTGCCTTCCTCAAGTGAAAAACTGCAAGTCTACAATATTTACCATCCCAGACTCCCTTGTAACTGGGGATAGCTATAAAACAAGGCCAGACAAGGTTGTCATGCAAAAGGCAGGAATCAGCTGCCACAAAACTCTTTAAGAAAAAGTCAGATTTAGATGGCATCCCCTTCAACACCTCAACATTCCTTATTCATTCTTCTTCCATTTCTTCTCTCTTAGAACATGGATATGATGCCTGGAGATTCAGCAGAGATCTTGCACCCTTGAGAACAAAAACCACTCACTTAAGGATGGTAGAACAGGAAGGTAGAGAAAGCTGAGGTGATGCCCTGGCTGGTGTGGCTCAGTGGATGGAGCACCAGACTGTGAACCAAAGGGTCGTGGGTTTGATTCCCAGTCAGGGCACATGCCTGGGTTGTGGGCCAGGTCCCCAGTAGAGGGAATGCAAGAGACCGTATACTGATGTTTCTCTCCCTCTCTTTCTCCTTCCCTTCCCCTCTCTCTAAAGACAAATAATCTTTTTATAAAAGAAAGTAAAAGCTGAGGTCCTAGGTGACATCTGTTAGTGGCTATACCTTCCTCTTACTTCTTGTTAAGTGAGAAAAATAAACTCCTATGTGTTTAAGTTATTATAGTTGAGTCTTCTATTGTTTACAGCCAAATATAATCTTACTTGATACACTTCCATCAATTCACCAAAATATAAATTGGGATAATTCCTGAGCATTAGCTTATAGGTGTGTTGCAATGATATTTTATATGCCTTGCATGGGCATAATTCTTCATAGTTGAAGATTATTCACATATGTCTTCTCTGAACCTCACAACTTTGGGAGAATTGCATATGCCAGATCTGATCAAGGTTCTGCTCCCGATCACAATCAGAGGACCCTAACCTAGTTCCTCTGATTCCAACCTTGTATATTTTCTTCAACATCTTTAATCACACAGCAAAAAAGGCCGATGAAGAACACTTATTCCCCTAAATTAGCGTGAATTCTACTTAACTAGCCAAGATGAAGCAGATTGCAAGTAAATTCTGGAAGTGCAAAGTGCCACAGTCTATTTGGGAACTAAGTTCAGTTCACTGTCTTCTTGAATGCCCCTCTCCTTGCAGCTCCCCCTTGACATCCTACCTTGAATCCCTGCACTTGCTCTTTCTGAGGTTACTGGTCCTTCAGATGAATCCCACCCAGTGGGTGGCAAGTATTAAATATATGGGATCTATTTTTAACTATTTTTGAAAAATAAAAGGATGCAGCAAGTTTTTTTAGCATAAGAGGGTTTTTATGACTGACTAATTTTTAGTACCAGAAGCTTTGGTGTGACCACCCTCCCTTGGAAATCACACCACAAGCCAACCTAATTGTCCCTGTCATAAGGAAATGAAGTGGAATTAAGAAAAATCAGCAACAGCAGACCAAATAGAACTGAAGAGGCTGGCGTAATGAGAATATCCTCATTACCTCCTTATAGAATTAACTCCTTATGACATCCTCATTAATTCATTCCAGGCAAAGTGAGAGAAAGGAAGGATTTAAAGTTGAGGCCAGATAGGGGTGAGACTTAGAGGTGATGGGTGGGGAGCAGGAGAAAGACAAGAACGGAAGTGCGGCTGTACCACAGAATCATCTGGGGCTGGAGGAGGGGAGTCTCCACCCCTGTGCAGGTGAGCTCACTCAGTTTCTGTTGGAGAGAGGGATAGGAAAAGCTCATTAAATGTGTGGACCTCAGTGCTAAGAGGCTTTGAAGCTGGTGAGCCCTAAAGGGTTCATGAAGTGGGTGGACTTCTTCTAAGATCATCTGATTCACCTCCTTATGCCAACTCTATCACATACCAAACCCTAATGTAGGGGTAGGGGCATCTCCAATTCTACATCTTTCTTCACCTGCCAGTCATCTGAATGTCCCAGGAATATTTCCTGGACATAGACTGTGTGCAGCACACTGCTCATCTGGAAAATTGAACCTGTGTACTGAGGGGTCCTCAACTAGTTCACCAAGCTTGTCCTGGCTTCCAAAGCTAACCATGTATATCCAAGGCATAGGCTATTCATGGAGAGAAGTAGCTTCACAAAGGTCCCTCCTTATTCTCTTCCCAGGAGTATAGCTCCCGAACATCACGGACCTTGGGAGCACTCAGTGAAGACCTTCTGAGGCGTAGATGAGAATCCCATGGCATGCCATCTAATCAGTATGAGGGTCTCCATGAATAATGTATTTTCCCTGTTTTACTAACACAGGCCATAGAAGATGATGAAGAGAACTCATGTTAAATCCCCAGTTTTGTCTCTCACTGTGCAACCTCCACGTGGGAGGTAACTTTCTGAAGCTTAGTGTTTGTGATGGTTAATTTGATGTATCAAGTTGGCTCATATGGTGCTCAGATATTTGGTCAAACATTTTTATGGATGTTTCTGTGAGGGTGTTTTCTGGATGAGATTAACATTTAAATTGGTGAGCCTCCATAATGTGGGTAGGCCTCATCCAATCAGTCAATGACCTTAATAGAACAAAGACTGACCTCCGGGATTCTGCCAGCAGATGGTCTTCAGACATGACCTATAAGTCTTCTCAGTCACCAGCCTGCCCTCCTACCCCTTCAGGTTTTGGACTCAACCAAGCCTCCACAACTGCATGAGCCAATACTTTGAAACAAATCTCTATCTATCTACACACACGCACACACACCCTGCTGTCTCTGTTTCTTTGGCGAACTATGACTAATACAGAGTTCCTCATCAATAACATGGGATGAAGATTGTTCCATCCCAAAAGATGGTTGAAAAGGTCAAGTGAGTCAACACAGATTGAAAGTCTCTGCGTCAGTAAGTTCCTTTGAGACTGGGGAAGAAGGGGAACATTCAGAATTGAGGTCTTTCATCTTACTACTTAGCCTGTCAGGATCAACATACATGCCCCAGGCTCTCCTTAAGGATGTTCTAAACTTTGTATCAAGCATTCTGTCAGTTTCTTGAAGGCAGAAGCAGCTTGTTGTGAGCTGGAGCCAGTTCAGTACAGACATCTCACCCAGGAGGTGTTTTGATCATGGGCCCGATCCTGCTTCTCTCACTTATAGTAACAGATGTGATCTCCATGGCTTAGAGCAGCCCTCCTGAACCTCTGTTGTCTGACAGTAAATTCCAAGGACATGGCTAAAGAGAGAAAAAGTCCAGAGCTACCACAAATCCTTCCTGGGAGGGAACTATTAGTAGGATATGACATGCTTGAAAATGCCTCGGGTCCTTGCTGTGGTGTGGTGTAGTGGAGAGGCCTCAGAACACAGCCTCCAAAATGCCTGGTTTCTAATCTCAGCTTTGGTCTTACCGCTGAGCAAGAGCATCATTCGACTTCTCTGAATAATGCAGATTAATAGGAGGATCCACCCCATGGTGCCAAAGTGAGAATTAAATTATAGAATGTTGGTACCTTACAGAT